TGGTGGCAGGCTCCTCCTTGTCCTAGGCCCTGTTTCTCTCACATCAATATTTCTCTCCATCTTTCTGGACACATTCCCCTTGCCCATTAAGGATAAACACGGGGCAAGTCTCAGATGTTTTCTCTCAACCCTTACATTTGTATAATGCTAGGATGTCAGAAGGTACCTGGTTTAGCATTTAATCCAACTCCTGCATTTAAAAGAAGGCAACGAGATGGAAGCCCAGAGAACTCAAGTGATTTGTCTGAAGCCAAAAAGCTAGTTACAGATCTGAGACTCTGGACTCAGTGCTCCTTTCCTGACTCAGTGCTCCTTTCCTGATTCTGGGCCATATTTTTATCTGTTGCCCGGCCAGGCCAGCCAGCACCAGGCAATGCTGGGTTGCTAGGTCAGCGCAAGTTCAGGCTTAAGTTTAGGCTGGAGGATGCAATGGATGAACCTTTGTTTCATACTAAAAAAAAAAAAAAAAAAAAAAAAAAAAAAAAAAAAAAAAAAGAAGAAGAAAAGAAAAAAAAAAAAACACCTAGTAAAAATTATGTCTGCTTGTTAAAGCTCCAAGCAGTGTGCAAATATGTCCGGAAACACTTGAAAACCCTGCCCTCCTCCAGGCCCTCCCCAGCTCACACCCCGGGGGCAACCACTTAGCGCTGTCTTCAATGTCTCTTTAATTTTCCTGCCAGCGTTGGGTCTTGCAGGATCCATGCCACAGCAAGGCTATTTTTAACAAGCATCCCAGGCTTCAGGGGGTTGAGGAGAGGGGAAGAAAAAATATTCCATTTGTATATTTTTAATCCATGCACATTTGAGAAGGCAGTGGCTTTCCTGTCCACCCTGCCAAGGGTTTGGGGAAATTTATTAGACTTTCTGGGTACAGGGTAATCCTTTCTCTTCCCTAATGAGGCTGGGAGGCCAGGGAGGGGTTCAGGCGTTGTATCCGGGGCTGATGGCTGTCTCAGCTGGCTGCCTCCTGATCCCGCCTGCCCCCAGCCCTCACTCTCACTCTCCTGCAGCCTCGGAAATCCTGGCTGAGTATCCCAGGGCAGAGGAGGCCTGGGAACCTGACTCTCTAGGCCAGACTCATATTTAGAAATGTCTCCAGCCAGAGGTTGGCATCTGTCCTGCTTGGGCTCTGGGCAGGGGGTGCGGTCACATGTGCTGCCTTCGAGTGGGCAGATTCTGAGTGGGCAGCAGCCCACTTTGAATATAAACACACTCCTTTTATACCAAGGCACTGGCATCTGAGCCTGTGCTCCAGATACTGGCTGTGGCCAGTGCCGGTAGCCAGACAGGTGGCAGGGGGAGGCAAGAAAGATGCCCCATGGCTTGAACTGGTCAGAATGGTGGTGGAGAGTGCTCCCAACTGCCTGCCCACCCCAGTCCTTATATGTTGCTTCCCTCAGTGTCTAGAGTGCAGTCCCTGACTGAGTAGGGGGGTGGTGGGGGGAGGGGGACAACAGTGCCCTGTTCTGGACTTTCCTGTCTTTTCAGGGGCCATCTGGGAGATGGTGTGAAGTGGGACAGGGTGCGACCTGGATGTGGGGCCACCTGTGGCAGGGTCTTTGTCCACCACTCCCCATCTGTGAGCCACCAGCCCTTTAACTTCTCCCAGTGGCACCTGCGAAACGCGGCCCATGGTGACATCATCGTGAAGGCTCTGACCAAGAAGGTTCTACCATTCCTTGCTCACCCTGCCTTCTTTTCCATGGCAGTGCATGACGACAGATGGATGAAACCAAATGTTCCCAGCCTTAAGCAGGAGACTCCTGGGTAACAGTCACGCCTGAGCCCTTCCATTTACTCAGGCCTCTGTAGTTAGTGAGGACCTGCGAAGTGCAGCCCTGTGCTGTCACTCGCCCATGGGGCTGTTAGGAGCTTTCAGCTCTCCTTATATCGCACTTCTCCACCCCTCTGCTGGCCTGCTCTGGGGACCGGAAGGGCTTGTTTGTCAAATCTTCAGAGAGAATCCAAATGCAGCCCTCTTAAGCCTTATGCCGAGCCAGCATCAAGTCCTCAAGCCCCGGCAGCTCCTACCTCTCTGCCCCCTCCTTCCCTCCTCTCCCCACATCTCAGAGGAAGAAAGCTCAAGTAGTGGTTCAGGAAGGGTGCATAAATATTTTCTTTGTACCTCCTGAGAGAAACATGATTAATACACAATAACAGGATGGATGGATGGATGGATGGATGATTGACTGACTGACTGACTGAATGGGTGAATGAATAGATGAATAAGTGAGTGAATGAAGGAAGGAACAAATGGGAATTCAGTCTCTGCTCCAAAGGAACTTGAATTTGAAGGAAAAGGACTGGGCTGTGGGACTGAAGGGACCCAGGGATCACACCCTCCTTTTATGGCGAAGGAAATGCAGGCTCGGAGGCGGGAGGGGCTGCGGTGCGATGCCTGTGGCAGACCTTGGAGGTTAGAGGATGGCGAAATCACCCAGGGAGAGTGAGATCCAGAACCCAACCCAAGGCTGCCCTACTTTCCCTCTGCCGCTGCCCTCAGTGTCCCTCGTCCTTGAAAAAAGAAATTGCCTTTTCATGTGGTTGGGAGTGGACGGTGCAATTTTTCTTCGAGGGTTAATTGTTTTGCTGACAGCACAGATAATTAGGAATGAGAATCCTGGAGTGAGGGCGACAGCACCATCTGCTGTGAATATGTTTCAGCCCCACCTTGCAGGAGGGCTCCAGGGCTCCGGTTCTCACCCTCCCCACCCCCAGCAAAAACCGAGGTGCTCTGGCGGCTTGCTTCAGGAGCTGAGCCTGTAGCTAGTAGGGTCTGCGGAAGGGTGCAGCATGGTCTCCCTCCCACAAAGCACCCAGTGCACATAGTAGGGCCCACTAAGAACTGCAAGGCTGTACGAGCCCCCCCTTACCCCCCCTCCCCCGAGCTGTCTGGGACCCAGAGTGCTGACACCAGGAAGTGCCTCCTTTCCCATCTTCCTGTGGCCTGATGTGCTGAGGTCTGGTCCTCTGCTGGCTGGAGGTGGGCAGTGGGGGACACTGCCTTCCATTACTGGTAGGAATTTTCTAGGTCGCGACTTCCTCTGTGTCAGTAGGAGCAGAGCTGCTTTGGAATCCAGCAGAGAATCCCACTGTCGGGAGCAGCCGAGATCTTTCTTCATATGGTGGGACTGCATGGTCCTTTCCCCGCCCTCCATCTTTATTTAGATATAAATCATATATACAAAAGAGCATTGGTACATAAAAATGCTTTTTAAAGGTAATAGTAATAATTTCTTTGTTCTTTCAAAGGACCTTCTAACCCCCAGTGCTGCCTTGCCCCGAAATGCCTCAGGAACCAGAGCCACTGGGAGCCAGGCCACTCAGGGGCTCAAGGTCAGCACAGGCCCGAAGCTTGGCTATTTATCACTGCCAGCTTCCTCTGCCTGGGCTGCTCTTGGAGGCTGGAGCCTTCACTGCCCTGTCTTCCCTATTTATCACTTGCTCTCTCTGTGCTTTCGTCTCCTAAATGCTCCTGTCAGGGGAGAAACCAAAGGCATGCCTGTGCTCTTCTCCCCATAGCAGGCCAGGCCTGTTTCTGCTCCCCCCACTTTCCACTCCTATTGGCCAGCCACAGAGGTGACATAAAATCACCCTAGAAACATGGAGCTTGCTGGAAAGAAGGGTAATTGGGAATCAAGAATTCAAATCTTAACTCTTTCGCTAACTTACTGTGTGACCTTCAGCGAGATTCTTAACCTCTCTGTGCTTCTGTTTTCTCATCTTTAAAACACCCCTTTATATTCCAATGGATGCAAACACAGCTTGAAGGGTATAAACCATTACAGCTGTTGGAAGACATTGCCATCTTCATGTGTACAAAATCCATAGGACTTCATGTGTCTGCCTTCCTTCCTACCCCACCCCACCCGACCCCTGCTCATGGCACTTCCTCTTACCTGCAGTGCTGAGTGCCCAGGCAGAGCTGTCCACCTGCTATAGCCCCTTCTCAGCAGGGTTAGGGTTAAGGTTAAGAGCCTGAGATTTGGGTGGAGCTCAGGGTCACAGACATCCAGGCAACAGGAGCCCTCCTCACCTCCCTAGTTGCCTGGTCAGAGCTATAGGGCTGAGCAGACCTCTACACCAGGGCAGGGCTACTTCTAGCTGAAGCCCCTTACCACCTACACACACCACCCCATAGTGTGAGTCACAGTCCTGGTTGTGAACTGTGGTCACTCAGTGTCCAGTATCTGTGTCCCTCACCCAGGGAGGTCTGCACCTGCCTCTTGTCTCTCACTCTGCATGAAGGTCTCTGGAATGAAGGTTTCCATCAGCCTCAAGTCAGTGGCCTTCTGGAGCCCCCAAACCACAGCACACCGGAAGCCTTGTCCCAGGGATCGGGGCTACGAGAGTTGAGGATGGTCCCCGGTAAACATGTTCTTGTTCTTTGTGGTCTCATTGGTGGAGGGGAGCACCCCAGTCCTCCCGCTTTCCTGGGCAGTGAGGTTCTGCTGGTGGTTATGAGCCAAACTCTGACTGGTGGTTAGGATGAGTAACTAAAGGTAGTCTTTTAGGAAGATAAGAAATATGCAAGGTAAGAAAACAGGAATACAGGTGTGTGTGTGTGTGTGTGTGTGTGTGTGTGTGTGTGTGTGTGTGTGTATACGCATTCAGGCTGAGCTTTGGGGATAGTGTTGGAGGGTGGGACATTGGCAGTGAAGAAAGACCTTGGCTGATGTAGAATTCACAATAGTCACCAGGAATTACAAGACCTAATAATAAAGAGCAACGAGAAGATTGCTGGAAAGTTCTAGACAGTTAAAACTTGGACATGGGTCTTTGGCCCTGGTAACAGAGACCTCTGTTCTTCCTCAGGTCCCCTCTGAGGCAGCTGAGCACTCAGGAGGCCTCATCATCCCTGAGGAGTGGGCCCGCCAGCAAAGCAGTAAGGGATGGCGTGGAGCCCTCCCAGGGCCTGAGGAGAGCGTGTAACCCACAGCCTGTTGGACCCGGAGCCTCTAAGTCGGGGGGCCGCACCAGCCGGGAGACAAGAAGAATGGATGCTTCGGCCCCTGGTGACATGCACACGGTGTAATGACAGGTAATGAACCTGCGGCTCATCTATTCCTTCTGAATGATATGACAGGTAGGAGAATACATCAGCCTGCAGGAGACATAAAACGTCAACCCTGGGGAAGATAACTATGCAAACAAACCTAGTAAGGCCTGATAAGATGATAGATGGATGCTTCCCAGTTATTAGTTTCTGCCCCGTGTGCTTGCTGAAGCCAGGCCCCGGAAGATTTAGCATCAGGTGGGTTCGCTTCCTGTGCCTAATGGGAAGGCCTGATGCCGTGATGTATGTAACACCTCTTGTTTGAAGAACTCAGGGTAACAAATCAAGAAGTCATTACTCCCCGTCAGCTTTCCTGGGAACCAGGGAATTGGTGGCAAAGAATCAGGGAGCAGAGGCGGCTATAGGCACAGTTCTTTCATGCCGTGGTGATAACTGAGGGGTGGACCTGGGGACTCCCTGGGTGGAAAGCCTGCCGATTGGTTCAGATTTTTCAAATGACAGGGTGAAGCAATGGGTGGGTATTTCTTGTTAAAAAAAAAAAAGAAAAAAAAAAAAAGAAAAAAAAAAAAAGAAAAAAAAAAAAAGAAAAAAAAAAAAAAAAAGAAAAGATAGGGTGATTTTGTGGCTCCCTACATTCCTCCAAGGATGCCAGGGCAAGGAGCCAATGGTCAGGGGTGCCTGGGAGGTCATGAGTAGGGGTCTGGAGAGCCTGGGAGGAGCTGACAGACACAGTGAGGACGTGGCTCAGACAGGAAGCATTGAGCAGGTCCCCAGAGCCTAGAAGGCAGGGCCTGAGGGTGGAAGGAGAGGGGACAGTGGGATTGAATATCCCAAAGATTACCTCTGTCCCATTGGTTCTCTGGTCCTCACTGTGTGTTTTTACAGTGCACTACTCTGGCAACTTCCACCAGGAAAATGGCAGGCTGGGGTGGGAGCAAAAATAGCTTGGGGCCTTGGGAAACTGACCAGGGCAGGGGGAGAAAGCCAATGACCTGGGGCAGGAGGCCCAAGGGGGTGTGGCAAATTCCATTCTAGCACAGGCCAGTGTCAGGGTCCACAGGGTTGAGGCAAAGGGTGGGGAGGGGCAGTGTATTAAGACTCTGGGTGGCCTTGTTCTAAACCAGACAGAAAGATTAGAGGAAGAAGGAATCCAGAAATCTGAGCCCAGCTCTAGGAAACAGATCAGCTACAGGCACCAGGCAGGCTCAGGACCTGGCTCCCGTTTACATGAGGAAATGGACAGGGAATCGAGTTCCAGGAACCCAGCAAGGATAGTCAGGGGCTTGTTATGCCTCAAGGGGCTTAGCGAGGGAGCTGGCAGCTCCACAGGAGCCTGGGATAACTGTGTCCCTGGGTACCCCAGACCATGTGTACTGACCCTGAGCCATTCCAAGACCCCCTCCTCTCAGTGGGGCAGGTGGTCTGTGCATCTCAGACTTGACTGGGGATCTGAGCAGGGCTGACCTGTGGGGCTGCATGGTGGGAGGTGATGGAGGTTACGGGGAGGCAGGAAAGGCCCAGCCCTGCAGGTAGGAGAGTGAGCACTTCATCATGCATGAGGCCAGGAAGGTAAGAGGTAACATACAAGAGCATAGGATTTGGTCTATCAGAAGGGTCTTAACCTAGTTTACCAATATTTACCAAGTACCTGTTATGCACTGGGAACTGGGCTAGGTATCAGAAAAGCAAGGATCCCCATGTCTGCACATGTCTGCCCATGGGAAGGGGAATGTATGGGGCAGAGAAAAAAGCACAGGAATGGAGACAGATCCAAGACTCTGAGAGCCTCGATCTCCTATCTTTACAACAAGACTATTCTTACTCCCAGGCTGGGTGAGAGAATAAAATAAAGTAAAACATGCAAAAACACTTGGCACAGCAGCGGTGCCCTCAGAAGCGATCGATACATTTAGTTTACCTCCAGCGTTCCGCTTTGGAGGAGGTGGGAGCAAAGAAGGCTGCGAGAAACGCATCCTAGTTCCCGGCCATCGGTGGCTAACAGGGTGTGAGATCTGGGCATGGACACCTGCTTATGAGTCTCCCCCCGATGGACAGGGTGGTTTCAGGTGGTTCTGAACACTCAGAACTGGTGCCTGCACTTCACACACTAGTCCCCTGGCAGTTGCTGGGCCAGAGGCTCTTCATGGGCACTGAGTGTGGGTGAGAGGGCTGAGTCCAGGAATTTCTAGAAGAGTCCAGAAGAAACGAATTGTCGGAATGTTTGGGAGGCTTGCCTCCCCAGCTAGCAGAACTGTTCTTAGGAGTGGGGCAGGGGGAGTGGGTAAGACCCAGCAGAGACCTGGCACTTGGAGCAGGGCTGCTCAGGAGGGGCTGAGCATGAGCCACATGTAATTTTTAATTTTCTAGAAGACACCTTAAAAAAGGTAAACACAGCAAGTGAAATGCCTTGTAATAATGTGGTTCATTTAACGCAACCTGGTCCCAGAATTAATTGCAACCTGTAATTAATACACAAATCGTGAGCGATCGTGTACATTCTTCTCTGAGGTCCAGAGGGTATTGGATGCTGAGTGTCCATCTCAGTTTAGGCCAACCAAGTACCAAGGGCTCAGTAGTTCCTTGTTCTCGTGGCTGCTGTCCTGGATAGCTCTGGTCCCCGATCTAGAGGAGAATCTGGAATATCTTGCCAGGGGGATCCAGAAGCTGGGTGAACCCTGAGCTAAGCAACAGGATTTACTATTATATCCTCTTCTTGTGACACCGCTGGAGTGAATCCCTGGGGAAATGGGCTTGAATGATAACAGAGGCATTGACTTACTTGTTCTAGATGGTGATGTGTTCTCTGGAACCGGCCCTGGCTGCGTCTCACCTGCCGGGCTCAGAGAGCGGCCACCTGTTCTGGTCCTGGTGCTGACCGCAGGTGGTTTCTGAAACTCTCTGGGTCTCAGGAGCTCCATTTAAAGTGGGACTAGTTGTTTCTATCTTGTTGGGTAACAATCTGGAACTAAATCAAATAATGACTAAATGCTCTGTGCCTTTTTATTTTTCTAAATCCAATGAAAACCCATTTGAGTTCCACCACAGACTAAGTTTGGTAAACTTCCTAGCAGGTAGGTCTGTTGCTCTGCCTCCATCCTTTTGCTGTTTGAGGACGTGGGGCTATTTGGGTCGGGACAGATGGGGAGGGGTGAGGCTTGGACCTTGGCCCATGCTAGTGGCAACTGCCTGCGGCCCCTCCTTATCCAGATCTGGTCCTCTGGAGGAGCCAAGCCCTGCAGGCAGCTTGTGTCCCTGTGTCAGCTCTGCCAGAGGAATGCTGCCCTCCCACCCCCCAGGCTCGCACCTTAAGGTGGAATGGGGGTTGTCAGCCACTCCAGGCTTATTACCTAAAGTATCTTGGGACCCAGCTCAGGGTTCCTACCCTGAAAACTGCATATCCTCGGACCTTCTTTCTTCTGTAGTAAAGTCCCCTCCTTCCCTTAGCTGCCCCCTTTCTTTGCCTCGTCATAATAATGCAGGTAATTCCCCCTTAGGGCCAGGGAGCCCTTTGTCATAGAATATGGCTGCTCTTTCTGGAGGAATTTTGTATTATTCTGTGAATGACAGCTGCTCCAGCCACTGGCCCCCAACAGCATCAGAAAGTAATTGCTATGTGTGTTTATACACACAGGCTCAGGGTCGGCACTCCACAAAATCAAGTTCTCCTATGCCCAGCCCACTCCGAAGAATGAATTACATAATTTCTGCCTTCTGGGGTCTTTCTGAGACTCGAGTGAGATGGGGTATGTGAAAGTCCTTTGGAAAGTTATGAAATGTTATTGAGACTCTTAATTCCCAACCTGAGGCTGTTTTCTGGGCTGGGAGCAGGGCTGATTCTCCAGACGCCTTTGCACTAGTGTCACATGGTGGGCTGGCCCACCAGCCCTATCCCCACTGCAGACTGGGCTGGTGTTCTCTCTGGTTGCCCCCACCCCACCCCTGGGGGGCCACCTCGGAATTAGCCCATCTCCTGTTCTCCTCTGGGAGATGGGGAGGACCTGTGTCATGGCAGCAGAATGTTTTCTTGACATCTGAGTTTGGAATCCACCCAGATTATCGGGAAGGTTCCTAATTCATGCTTCTGTGCCCGAGGAGAGTGGGGCAGCCACCTGCGGGAGTTCAGTGGGTCTTCCTCTCTGTCCCGGCCTGGGCTTGGTGAGGGTTCTGCCATAGGGAAGGAGGTTTGAAGGGAGTGTGTGAAGGCACATATCCCGTCCTTGGGGCCTGGTGTGGAGGGAGCGGGGGAAGGAGGTACAGGTCGGTGAGGTGATGCTGACGTGAATGTCAGCTGCATTGGAACCAGTACAGAATCTATAGAATGAATGGGAGTTCTGCAGGCTCCGGGGCCGACATGGTGTCTTTAAGGTTGGGCCAATATGACATGGAGTGTGGCTGGGTCAGGGGTCCTTGGATGCTCACCGTCCTGACCTGTGGGTCCCTGTGCTGCTGTTCTTTAGACTAGGGGTCCTCATGCTGGAGCAGCTGGCTCCTGATTCCTGGGGCCGGAGCACTCAAGGCAGTCACAAATCCTAAAAGAGTTCTATCAACCAGTGTCATTAGGAGAGCATCTATTTAAAAAAATCAATTTATGAAGTGTTGTTTGGGAAACAGCAGGGCGGGGGGAAAGAGGGAGGGGGGGTGCATTTTACAAGGCCAAGTGCATTTAGATAGAAATGTGATTCTGGCTCCTTCTAAGCTTGCACTGTGCCCCCAGGCAGAACTCTCACCCTGCCCAGGCCTTCAGGTGCCCGTCTATGAAATGGGCATGAGAAGTATTGCGATGATTTCATCCTGCTGCTGGGTCTGTGTGCATTTAGTGCATTTATTTGAAAAGAAAGAGGTGTTATGAATCTTAATCTCCAAAGATTTGAGAGTATTACATGGCAACGCCCTTTCCGTGCCAAGCCTACACAGCGTAATTCTGCTCTGAGTCTCTTTATTGCTTCCTGGGGGCCCTTGGAGCACGGCCTCTGATCTATCACCTTAAAATCCTGCAGCAGGGAAAGGCAGAAAGCCACATTGCC